GCATGTAAATAAGTTTGTGACTGCACAGTTGGTCCAGGACGGTCATGGAGAGAGAAATAAAGTAACTTCAGTTTGCTGTTCCGTAGCCTGTAGTTTAGTTCTGAAACGTATGTGTCTGAAACGATCGCAATGATTTAGTGGCCTTCCGTTCAGGAATGAGTGCTGGACTGCGGTGGTGTCACCTGCGAGAAATAGGAAGTGAGAGCAATTCGTTTGCTTTCAGCATTGAATATGAAAGTAAAAGTGCAGTAGTTCTCTTAAAACAAAGATGTTTTTTATTTTTGTAATCTGCACAAACAAAAATAAATACCGTAAAGCAAAGCTTTTCAGACCCTACAGTACCACGGCAGGGCTCAGCGTGCTGTCACGTGCGTGCAGTTTAGTAGTAGTATCGGGTATTCGTGTCTGCTCGAAGGTATCATTTGTTCTCGATTCTGCTGCTTGTGTGACTTGTTAATTTTATCTGGCTAATTTTACTAGCCTAACTTACACTTCTATAATACTGATGACTACTGCATGAAAAAGAAACGTGCTGAACGCCTGTCCCCGTAATGAGCTGGGGCTGGCACGAGCCAGCGGACGTGCCCCTCGCCTGTTCTGTGAGCCTGAGCCGGTGCTGGGGACCGTGGTGACGGCCGCACGCTTTGATCGCAGGGAATCTCTGCGGGGCGCCGACTCTTAGAGCTGTGTCAGACTTGCGAAACCAAAGCTGTGCCTTGCCCTGCAGGCCTGCGCAGTGTGCTCAGGCAATCTGTACCCTCCAGCATTGAGCAAGCTTTTGGGTTTGCGGCGTGTGCCGAGATAGCTGCGAGTGGAGCGGCTGCGGTCCCAGCGCTCGGGCTCCCCGCTCCGCTCGCCGGAGCACGGACCTGCTGTGGGAGCCCAACGGTGTGCACGGCCGGCAGCAGATGTGCTTGAACTCTGTCGGATACTTTGGGCGTACTTAACCAGTCAAACCAAAATGTTTAAGATGGTTAAAAATGGAATTCAAAGTTCTCAAGTGCTTTAGGGTGTTGTGTCTGTGTCGTCCCCGTCCCGTCGTGTGTGTGTGTCCCAGCTTAGATCCCTTCTGTAAATCAAATTTTGCTTTCATTTAGCACGGAAAGGCCTAAGTGGGCAGTGGTGATCAGCTCACTGGTTTATTATCCTGCCCTGCCAGCTGATGCTGTTGTCGCGATAGAATGGCATTCCTATTGCTGCTGGGAAGGGTCTGAGCCTGAGCGGTGCCGAGGACCCCAGCCTCCCCTTTGAGTCTGAAAACAGAGCAGCTTCCTTACTCTACATACCTCGGAATGTTCTTTCTAAAATGCAAAAGTCTGCTTTAAATTGTTAATTAGTCTTTAAAAAGCAAAACTGAAGGATGCCCTTCTGACAGGCGCACGGTGAACAAAACCACGGTGCATTTTGTGAGGAGGGGGGTTTTGCTCCTGCCTGCTGGGAGGTGAGCGGTTTCCGAACAGCCCGTAGCTTATCCAGGCCTTTCCAAAAGGGCGGTGTGTCCTGTAGTAGCTGTTACGGGTTAGCGCTTACCACGTAACCAACAGCTTGTACCAGGTTTGCCAGGGATACCTTGTTACTGAGCTCTGCTTTCCGAGCTGTTTTGATAGGAAGAGGGCACTCCCAGTAAGTTCTTCAAACTATGTCTCTCTATATAATGCCTTGGATTAATAATAGGTGATTGAAAGCGTAAGCCCCAAAATTCAGTCGTTCACCTTAGCCAGGGGTGTAGTTTACAAAACAACGGGTCATTTAATATTTTCTGCGTAACTGATCCTGTGATCCGATGTATGTATCCCCTAAAGAAGAGGTTCCTGCTTGTTATTTTTGTATTTGCTAGGTCAACGGTTGGACTCGGTGATCTTAAAGGCCTTTTCCAACCCAAATGATTCTGATTCTCTGATTCTATTCCTTAAATGAATAAAATAGTTACATCCCTGCTTCACTTTCAGATGTGTTTCGCAGTGCAAGCGCACCGTAAGGCGTCTTGGGCCGGCCTGAACAAGCGCTATCTGCTTTTTGAAGGTCTCCTGTTGAACTAGTGCTGCTCTCGTAGTTCTGGTATGTGTGGGTGCAGGCACCCACGCCTGTTACCTCTACTTCCACTTACCTTTGGCGAGTATTTATTTGTACTGTAATGCAAGTACTGCTATTGACGGGTGTCAGATGTGTATTTCTTACAACAAGATGGAAGCCTTTCTGCTCTGTATCTTTACCCGGGAGGTTCTATCGCTTACCTGTACTCTAGGACTTCTCAAGGGGCTGATGGAGTTGGGTGCTTTCCTCCCTGATGTTCCTTTGATGAATCCTCGTCTTTTTGCCTTCTCTGCCCCCAGAACTCTCCCTGATTTCTGTTATATATAAAAAAGAGGCAATACATAGTCACTTCTGAACTACCTCTTGTTCATACGGATCTAAGAGTGCTCTAATCCTGTCTGTATTCCTCTTAAGCCCATCTCGTGGGAGCACCGAAGAGCTGTAAAGCTGTAGTTTGGTGCAGGAGAGACGTTCTTGTCAGCATAAAAAAAAAATCCAAGTACTGTTCTCTGTCCTTGGTTCGATCTTTGCCAGTAGGAGGCTTAAATTAAAAGTCACAACAGCATTTTCTTAAGTACTTTCTCAGTGTGGTTGATCTTGGTGTAACTTTTTTTTCCCCACTAACAGTCAGTTTGGCAAAGCTGTAGCATTTCCTATGGCTGTTAGAACCAGCATCGAGCGCGGGGCACTGGCTATTCTCAGATTGTCAGCCATCCAAGTAATCAAAGCTCCTTAACTTTGAAAACTAGATGCCAAGCCCAGTCAGACTAACAATGCCATCTGTCTGAGGCATCTGGATACGAACCCGCTTGGGCTGATGCATACGGTTCTGTTCCTGAATGCTTTCACAAATGGAAAATACGCAGACTTGGAAAGAACAGCCCTTCCTCAAAAAAAACCCCAAACCACACTATGTATAATTTTGATACATATTACGTTCATTAACCTACTATAAATATCTCTTTTCATGTGTAATGCAGTAAGGAATTGATGCCAATTTAGAAAGGGATTAAGTTCCTGGCTGGAAATGTGTCAAGATGCACGTTGGCTCACTACCATCAAAGTACAAATCACTGATGAACATTGCAGGAAAATTCCTTCAAAGCGGAATGAGCTGACGAATCTGAACATAGTTCAGCTGTCCACATGCTACTTTATACCATGCGATTGCCTGCTCCTGTGTCTCGCAGAAGCCCCTTCTCACCGGGAATGCTGTTTGTGCAAAGCTGCGCATCTGAAAATATGCTGCTAGGCTGTAATCTGGTCAGCGTAAAAGGTGAACAGCATCTCGGTTTGTTCCATCATTTCTGTGGCTTCTGTTGCTTCCTGTGGCTTTCCAATGGACCTTTTCTATTTTGTAAGAAATTTTGCTTTCCACAAAATCCTGGAGGGAAGGAAGCCTGAGTCTGGTCACTGTGGGTGCTGGTGGGGAAGAGGAAAGATCAGGAGGCCAGTCCCTTTTTCCAGCATAGGCTTGGATTAAAGCGATGCTGGATGAAATGCATGAGTAGTGTTTGGGACCGGAGGCTCATGCTCTTTTTACTTGTTCCTTCTCTGTGGATCAATAATCTTGTTTTCTTTCCTGCAGTGCCAGTGGGAAGCCTCCTTCTCCCAGCCACGCAGCCTGATGAACAAATGACACCACCATGGCAGGGCATGGCCCGGGGGGGCAGCTGTGCTTACCTCCCTGTTACAGAAAAGCTCAGCACTGTGGGCTGTGTTCTGAAATAGTCTACTCCTGTTTCACCCCCCCAGGACATCCCCCCCCCGAAGGGGTGTCCTGGCTTCGGGCTCGCTGACTGCTTGAAATAGTCTACTCCTGTTTCACCACCCCAGGACATCCCCCCCCTCCCCCCTGAAGGGGTGTCCTGGCTTCGGGCTCGCTGACTGCTCCCTGGCTGGGTTGTGGAGTCATGAAAGATTCCTGATGCTGAATTCCCAGTTCTCTCTGTGTGGTTACGTGGTACCTTTTCAGGTTCTAGTAATCTTTTACTAAAAAAAAAAAAAAAAAAAAAAAGGGTAACAGATTCAGCCAAAGTTCTTCACTGTGTGATTTTATTTGGGCTTATTTAATCGTGTTCTTTCCACCACCGCTGGAATAACGACGCTGCGTTTACTGGAGAGAGCGCCCTTGAGTCCTGTCTGATTGCAGGTTCAGGACTTCTCCCCTCGGGATCACCACTGGACTGCGGGATGGTTATAGTTGTGCTTGCTAATGCCTCTTGCACAGAATATTTAGCCGAGTGCCTCCTGCAAGAGAAGCAATGCTAGCTTTCTGCTGTTACTTTCATGGAGATGTATCCTCCCGAAAAAGAGAGATTCCCAGGAGCAGAAGGGGGGGTTCAAGCCTTTGCAGCAAGTAGCCGGGTGCGAATTGCTGGGCCTCTAAAAACCCACTAGTCTATTATTTTCTGTAATTTTAAATGTAGGCAAATTTTTTTTCCTGTAATGATATCGTTTAGAGGTTATTGGAGTTTTCTTTTGTTCACCCAGCACCAGCTTGAATCTGGGCTTCTGCTCTGTGGTATCAGCATTACTCTTAAAGCCTCTCTGAGGCACGAGCTTGGCGATGGATCGGCAGCACGTCTGTCTTGGGAACGTTAGGCTGGGTTTGTGTGTAGCTGGTGGCAATGGGGAGCTCTTGTTTTGGGTGCCCTGGGGAGTTGGGTGAGAGGGAGTTGAGAAACGTTACCTTTGGTTGGGAAGGTTGAGAAGGAAGAGCTGGGCTTGTTTTATTACTAGGACAGCTCTAGGGCAAAACTTTTGCAACAGCCTGGTGCCGCATGCTCCCTAAAGCCTCCTCAAAGCGTGTTTGCTTTCTCCCTCGCAGGGTGCGCTTCTGTGCGAGAGAGAGGATGGGAAAGCGGAGCCCTAAAAGCACACTGCAAAAGTCCAAGGTGGAGAGAAACCCCAGCTGAGCCCCTGACACACAGTTCCCACTCTGAACGTGCTATGGAGATTGAGCAGGAAAGGGTGTTTGCCCAGAAAATACCAAGCCAGCTGGTGAAGGACACTCCGTTACCTGCCAGGAAGACGCGCTGCGCCAGACAGCTTTTCTGCTCAGGTAAAATAATGCCCCTGCAGAAATCATCTTGCCTAAATTTTCGTGCGTGGCCGCTGCGTGATTTACACATTCGTGTTAGTGTTGCAGCATGTTGTGTTACGATACTGGGGTGGGGGACGCTGTTCCTTGGCTTTTGCAATGAATAAAAAATGAAATGTTTTAAAAAATGTCAAGAAGAGAGAGCGGCACCGAATGCACGAGGAGTAGTAGTAGAGACCTGGGTCGAAGTGGCAAGATCCTGAATGAGAACGGGTTGGTTTATGCGGGTCTCTGAGTTACGATATACAAATATTAATTAAGGCATATAATGTCTTTATGAAGCGTATGGGTAGTTTCCCCTTATTGCAGAAGGTGGTAGCGGAAGCGTTAAGGGATATATTATAAAGAATCGTGGTAACAGGGTATCTTAACACTTAAGCAAAAAACTTTGGGGGGGGAAAAAAAATCCCACGTTTTAGACCATAGCCCAAGGGTTTTTTTGGGTCCGTGTGTTCAGCCTGTAGCAAGAGCTGTGTGGCTCAGTAGGTGCAGAAATGGGAGTCATGAGGTAGAGGGATTGGGTAGTGTTTAGGCACCTGAATACCGGCCTTTGCCTCTGGTCCATGCCCCCAGCAGCTGCTTTCACCGCTTGCCTCCCGAACGGTAACGTTGCCTTTTGAGTGCTCAATTCTAAACCCTAAAGTATATCTGAAAATCTTCCAGCAAGTTTCTGATAAACACGTAATATGACGACAGGGCAGGAATTCTGTGCTGTTGACGTAGCTGACTGTGGGTGATGTTGCTTGCTTATGCTACTGGAAAGTGTAAGAGGAGGAGTAGGAGGAACATTTTCAGCTGATCTGTCACTGCTGCGTGCGGTGAGCGATGGAATGGCTTACGCCCCAGAAATCACAGCCTGGGGGTGCAGACAGCCAGGGGTTGTTATTCGAAAGCTGGTAACGTTATGATGAAACTACTGGAGTAGACCCACTGGTTTTATAGGAATGGTGATTCATGTTAAAAATTAAAGGTGGTGGAGACCTGATTGCAGCCTTTCAGTACCTAAAGGGAGCCTATAGGAAAGATGGGGAAAATCTTTTTAGTAGGGCCAGCAGTGACAAGACAAGGGGTAATGGTTTTAAACTAAACCAGGGTAGGTTTAGACTAGACATAAGGAAGAAGTTCTTTACAATGAGGGTGGTGAAACACTGGAACAGGTTGCCCAGAGAGGTAGTGGAAGCCCCATC